GTTCATATCACACTTAATGGTGAAATACCTCATGCTTCTCCTTGGGTCAGACACTAAACCAGGATGTCCACTTTCACTACTTCCATCTGCCTTTGTACTAGAAGCCAGCGCAAAAGTCAAGAAAGCAAAATAAAAGGCATGCAAATTGGGAAAAAAGTAAAATTGTCATTATTCACAGATGACATCATTATTTACATATAAAATCCTAGGGAATCTACAGAAAAGTTTCAAGATCTAATGAATTTAGCAAAGGCACAGGATGCAAGGTCAACATATGAAAAGCAATTGTATTTCTATGAGCAACGAACAACAGGAAAATAAAAAAATTCAAATACCATTTATAATAGCATCAAAAAGGAATAAAATATTTAGAATAAATTTAACCAAACAACAGGCAGGACCGCTACAATGAAAACCACTCAATAGTGCAGAGAAACAAACTAAAGAAGACGTAAATAGAGTTTGACATCATGTTTATGCATTGGAAAACTCAACATCATTAAGTGTCAATTCTCTCTAAATTGATTTATAGATTCAACATCATCTCAACTGAAATCCTGGTGTGCATTTTGTAGAAATAACAAGTTGATTCTAAAATTTATATGGAAATATGAAGGATCTAGAATGGCCAAACTTTCTTTAAAAACAAGAACAAAATTAGACAACTTACAACACCTAATTTCCAAACTTATTTTTATAAAAGCTACAGTAATCTAGGCAGGGTACTGATAAAAGACTACATCAAAGATCAGTGGAACACAATGCAGTCTAGAAAGACCCATAAATACAGAAAAAGAAAAAGTGCTCAACATCATTAATTGCCAGAGAAATGCAAATTAAACCTACAATGAGACACTACTTCATATTCACTTAGAACGACTAACACTAAAAAGACTGGCAATATCAAATATTAGAGAGGATATAGAACTGGAATTCTCATACACTGCTGGTAAGAATGAAACATGGTACAACTAGTTTGCAAAACAGTTGGGCAGTTTCTTACAAAATTAAACAAACATTACCCTTTGCCCACAAATTGTATGCCTACATATTTACCCAGGAGAAATAAAAACATATCCAAGGACTTTTATAGGAATGTGCAAAGCAGCTTTATTCATTATGGCCAAATGCATACAGCTCAAAAGATTAAACAGCAGATGAATGGTTAAACAAATTACAGTATACCCTTACAATGAAATACTAATCAGAAATTAAAAAGTAGTGAACTACTAAATTATGCAAGAACATGGATGAATTTCAGAGACATCAGAGTACATACCACATGATTCCAAAGCTACACTTAGATGCTAAAAGTCACAACAGTGGTGGTCTTGCAGCAAGTGAAGGGGTGGGATTGACTGAAAAAAGGCATGACAAAACTTTCTAAGGTGACGGAAATATTCTAAACAATGATCTTGGTGGTGATGACACAGGTGTAAATATTTGGATTTTGTTTTGTTTTTCAAGACAGGGTTTCACTCTGTCACCAAAACCAGAGTGCAGTGGCACGATCATGGCTCACTGCAGCCTTGATTCCCCCAGGCTCAAACAATCCTCTCACCTCAGCCTCCCGAGTAGCTGGGACTATAGGCACACACCAACACACCTGGCTAATTTTTGTATTTTTTTGTAGAAATGGGGTTTTGCCATGTTGCCCAGGCTGGTCTCAAACTCCTGGCCTCAAGTAATCCACCTATCTCGGTCCCTCAAAGGATTGGGACTACTGATATGAGGTGTATTTGTCAATATTCATCTAACTATATGCACAATATCTGTGCATTTACTGTATGTAAATTATACCTCAATAAAGTCTATTTAGTTCTTTATATTAAATGTCTATTAATAGGCCAGGCACAGGGGCTTACACCTGTAATCCTAGCACTTTGGGAGGCCAAGATGGGAGGATCACTTGGGTCCAGGAGTTTGAGACCGGCCTGACCAACATGGCAAAATCCTGTCTCTACTAAAAATATTTTAAAAAATTAGCCCAGGCGTGGTGGCTCATGCCTGTAATCCCAGCTACTTAGGTGGCTGAGACATGACAACCTCTTGAACCCTGGAGGCTGAGGTTACAGTGAGCCAAGATTGTGCCACTGCACTCCAGCCTGGGTGAAAAAGTGAGACTCTGTATCAAAAATAAATAAATAAATATTAATAAAGCAAAAGGACTCCAGTGGGTGAGAAAGGGTTTAAATCACTCCAGAGTACCCAAGAAGTGCTCCTATTCATGAGAAGCAGAGATAGAAAAACTAAATTTCCTCCTAAAACATACAACTATGTGCCTAGTGTTATGATTCCATCTTAAATGATAAAATCTCATTCAATTAATTCCCCTTAAAAACTCAAACATTCATTCTCCATTTCCTAATTGAAAGAACTGAATGTTGATAAAGGCCTATGTTTTAAACAGCTATTTATTTTCACTCCAAAGGCACATCTACTGTTCCTACTATTATTGACACAGATATTCCAAAAAGTTACTAGGTGGAAAGAAGGGATTAAAAAATACCACCACAGTAAAAAAATTATTTAATTTATGACCTAAATAATTGTCATTTAATACCTTAAAATATATTTTATGACTTAAAAGAGAAAGTATTCTCTTTACCATATATACAAAGAAAATACTGTATTTGTAATCCAATAGACTTGTATCCAGAATACATAAAGAACTGCTACAACTGATGATAAATAAATAACCTGACCTTAAAAATGGTGTAAAACTTTTAAACAGACATTCATAAAAGAAGATACACAAATGGCCAATAAGGTAATGAAAAAATGATCAACATCATTAGTTGTTAGAGGAATGTGAACTAAAACTACAATAAGATACTACTTCATATTCTTTTAGAATGGCTAACACTACAGACTGGCAAAATACTCCCAAAAGAAAAATTATTGCTGCTGTTATGACATGAATTATTTCAGTCATTCAGTAATACATTAAAAGACATTTCATGACATAAAAGAGAAAGCATAAAATCTAGAGCAATAGAAAGTAGATCAGTGTTTGCTTAGGGGTAGGGGAACAGAAGGGATAGGGGAATGAGAGTTAAAGGGTATGGAGTTTCTTTTGGAGGTGATGAAAATATTCTAAAATTAACTGTGGTGACAGATGCACGTATCTGTGACTACACTAAAAGCCATTGAATTGTACACATAAAATGGGTGAATTTTATGATATGTGAATATCTCAATAATGTTATTTTTAATAATGCTGTTATTAACATTTTGATTGGGATTAAATTGGGATCTACAGATCTGGAGAAAAGATGTATGATTATAATATTGATTCTTTCAATACATGAACATTATATAATGCTCCAATTATTTGGGTCTTCTTTAGTTTCTCTCAATAATCTTTTATAGAATTCCATGCAGAAGTACTGTACATATTTTATTAGAGTCATTCCTGGATATTTACTATTTCTGATGCTATTTATATGGTGTATTTTAAAAAAGACAAAGCACTGAATTTTTTTAACATGGGGAAGAAGAAGAACAGAGCATGGTGTACATATTAAATAATCAAAATTTCAAAATAAAAAATCACTACACACAGTCTAACATAATTTTTTCTGATTTTAAATTTTATTTATAGAAAAGTCATACAAATATATAGAAATCAAATTATATTTAATCACTCATTTAACAAATCACATGAAAAAGAATAAAAATACATAAACTTGGCTGGGTACAGTGGCTCACACCTGTAATCTCAGAACTTTGGGAGGCCAACAGGGGTAGATTGCTTGAGGTCAGGAGTTTAAGACCAGCTGGCCAACACAGTGAAACCGCGTCTCTACTAAAAATACAAAAATTAGCTGGGTGTGGTGGTACATGCTTGTAGTCCCAGCTACTTAGGTGGCTGAGACACGAGAATCACTTGAACTTGGAGGTGGAGGTTGCAGTGAGCCAAGATCGCACCACTGCACTCCAGCCTGGGCGGCAGAACGAGACTCTGTCTCAGAAAAAAAACATAAACCTACAAAAGTCCTGAAAAATTCCATGACAAGTAAATGCTTTCTAATTTGTATTTGCTATGTTCCTTAGCTTATAGTGAAAACAGAGGTACTGTTTTAGTGTCCATATTTACTCAATATATGTATTTATTAGCAAAGTGCTTTCATAGCAAAGAAATTTTATTTAATGATGGCCAATTTTACATTTAAAGCTGGTAACATTCAAAGTGTTAAAAAAAAATCCATCATATTGGTGTTACAAACACTTTATTTTTTCAACTAACTAAATAAATTAGTTCCCTGAAAGCAGATTGTAGAGTTTTACATTCACAAAGTAATTATTCATTTTCTACTAAAAGGAAATAAAGATATAAATCACATTTGGCCTTAAAATTAATTTATATGAGTACTTAATGTTTCTAGATCTGTTTTCTCATCTGTAAAAGAAGGTTAGATGAAAACATCTAGTCTCAACTAGTTTTAGAACTCTGTTAATTTTATAATAAGAAAACAGCAAAACCATATGGTCATACCATACATTAAGCCAAAAACAACGTTTGAAAAATTAGACGTATACAAGCTAAAAGACTCAGTAATTATTAGTTCACATAAAAAGACTCTCTGCTTTCACTCCAGAATTAGCAGCCTCCAAAACTTTTTCAAAAACATACTTGACATTCATTGAAAATGAAAATTCATCATGTTTCTGACATAAGATGCAGGGATATAAGATTATATCTTATATTTCTACTAACAACCATAGTTATCTCACTGATATTAGGATAAAAAGCATAGTATATATGAAACCATTTAGTTCTTAGGCCATTCATAATTCTAAGATATTTCAGATATTTTGAAAGTATTCAAATAAACAATATGGTTACAAATAGGTCCACTTTTTTTTTTTTAGTGGAATAAGGTGAAAGACTAGACTTTATCTCAAGGAGGCTTCAGAAAGTATGTAATCCAAAACCAGGTAGCTATAGTTAACTATCATATATTGATGAAAATAAGTATTTGATATAAATATGTTACCTGATCAATGATAGAATTTAGCTTGGTAAGTAATAGAAATCCTCGACCACGGACAAGGTACTGTCCGAGGGTTGCCATGTGTGTCTCCTCCTCTTCTTCCTCCCTGGCCTCCACTCTCTGGACCACTGCATTGCAAAGCCGGTTGACATCAGTCAGAAATTCACGTGCCAATGAGTTACTGTCGGTGCTCATGACCGAGCTATAAAATAAATATTACAAAAAAAAAGATTAGGAAAACAAATACAAATTTACTTTTAAAACTATGTGTTTTTGTTGTTTGTTTCTAACTGAAGATTGGCTTAAAATTATTGGGAATTGGTACTTAACCCTATAATATTTTCAGGCATAGTTCTAACCTAGTCGGGTGCTTCTTAAGTAATTCCTGCCATGGCAGAAATGAGTCCCAGGTTTGAAATACCTGAGCATAGCTGAGAATGGGTAAGTGACAGCACCTGGAAGACATTTTTCTCTTTTTAAGAGAGAAGACTTTCTTTCTTAAATACAATAAAAATAAACCCATTACTTATAAAATGTTCTTGCTTTGCATATTTTATAATAAATTGGCATTTTAAAATTATAACCCATTTTTCACTTGATAGAGCCCACAATCACTGCCCCATCCTCCCCAAACACCAAAGTTCAGTTAATAAGAGGATTTCCAGTCAGGCAAATAAAAATTGAATAATTCTAACAGTTAAAGTTATGCCACTTCACTTCTTATAACATTTAAATCAAATAAAGGGTAATGTGACATTTTAAGATTAAGGGAAATAAGGTACAGCAAACAGAATGGGGGAACATAAATACAGAGAAAAATGTATAAATTTTCAGAAGGGAAAAACCATGAACAACAAAATCCCCAAAGAGTTTCAAAATAGTTTCATCTCTGGGCCAAAAGTAATTTTGAGGTATCTAATAACCTTTAAAAGACGTTTAACGTAGAGATGTTAAGTTAAATAAGACATGTATTGTTTCCCCTCCCTTCACCCGCTTCAGGGGGAAGCCCTCCCTACAACCCCTGCTGAGAGGGCAGTGGGCATATGATTATGCCTCTTGCCAAGAGGCACAGTCAGGCTCTGGGCCCCAATTTAGCTACAATGCATGCTCATCACAAGATGTGACTTGTATAGTGTGGGTTGCAAAGAGGAACTGGACTAATCAGGTTTTCTTTCTCTCTCGGGAATTTAAACTAAAGGGATATAGTTGATGTGCTGAAAGGTCACATACAGATGGGGCTATGGTAGTCATTATGAGGTAGCTGAGGGTCAGAAGAAGGCAACTAGGTAAAAATGAACCAATGGGATACAAAGAGAAGTAGATAAACATGAAGGGGAAATACCAGAGAAATTCCTAATACTAACTTAGTTCCTGTTCATTCTGGGACCTCATAGTTTAATTCTTTGATTCCCATCAGAATTCTAGGTGTTACAATAACTCTCTCTTAGTATAACAAACATCATTATTTTTAATATTTTTGAACATTAGAAAGAAGACAGAAAAGTATAAAGTACATCTCTCATTATTCTAAAATGCGGCAATAACCTCTATTATATATTAATATTGGTTCTTTATATACTTTCAGAAAGTAAAATTATTCAATAAATCCAATAACCTCATTTATATTCAGTTCATATTTATCCAATTTTAATATATTTCACTGAATCTGTTAATAATTTTAGGATACATAATTATTTAGTACACCACTAAAAAAGAATTAAACTATGACACAATGTTTCTTATCACATAAAATTTCCCTACAATATCACCTTCTGGGTTGTCAAGACCATTCATGACACAGCATTTAAGAGTACTGCACTATTGTTTCCGGGATTTTCCTTCAAAGCTACCAATGTCATTCTATAAGTTTATATGCTGGTGCTTTCTTGATCTTACCAAATGGTATCAGCAGAAAGTTTCAGAAAACAACCAGGAAGACACTTAAAACTCAACAGGTGCAGTACCAGCAATGCACCGAAGTCTGCTGAAGTGCTGCCAATGTGAAAGTCTATGATCAGACCACGTCACCTGCTCCACAAGTGCTTATACGGCATCATCCATTGCAAGATGCACTGCAACTTTAGAAGTATTAAAAATGTGAAAAACTGAAAAATTATGGGAATAATTAAGTCTATCTTCTAGAAATTAAGATAATGGAAATCAATATAAATTTTTAGATATAACAGTTAGTGCCATATCAGTAAAAGGCATTATAATCTCAACAGAAATGTATGCTTTTTCTTGATTTAAAAATGTACATAAAATATATACATGTTTATATGAATAGGCTAGTGTATATACATGATCTATTACTTGCTTTTATTTCATTTAGATATACTGAAAAACATTTCACATGAGCTGTCACTCTTTAATAGCTGTATGGCACACTGCTACATGTAAATATTACATATATTGCATTATATTATAGTCTACTATGCAGCCAATCTCTTATTTTTGAATAGATTGTTTCTAGTCTTTTATTATCATAAACAAAGCTACAATTAACACCCTTATACTACTTGTACCTTTGTCTTATTATTTCCTTGAAGTAGAAATTGCTGTTATTTCATAGGGTAGGTTTTACATATTTCTTCTTAGGTTTACTCCAAGGTGCTTTATATTTTTGCCATTATTATGAATGGGATTTTGTTTTCCATTATATATTCTAGGATTTAAAACTGGTATATAGTAGGCACATAGGAAGTGGATTTCTTTTGATATAATAATCATATATCTAAACTTCTTTCTGAGCTTTTTTATTATTTTGTTTTGAATTTCCCAGATTTAATACTCTATAATCTACAAATAACAAAAATTCTGAATTATCTTATCCAATATTCATATAATTTCCATTATTCTATCTAATTGTATTAGTTTGCATTAACAGAACAACATCAGTTGTGGTGATGGTGACACTTTTGCTTTGTACATTAGGAAGCATTCACCTCTTCCTAACAGAAATATTGAATTTAATTGAATGACTTTTAGCCATTTTGAATGTCAACTGAAAAGATGATTGCACGGTATTTTCTTTAAATTTTTTTCTAATATTTAAAGTAACCAGAAACAAAGAATATATAACATGAGGTTATAGCCAACAACCAGATATAAACAGTACACTGTATATATTCTTTGGTAACTTTGCTTTCTCCTCTTAATGTTATGTTCATTCCATTAAACCATCATGCAATATACCATTGTATGGATAAACCACAAACTATACATCCATCTCTACTAAGAAAAGTTTAGCTGTTTTAACTTTGGGGTTTAACGAATGTCACATAATTATGTAGTTTCAAGCCTTCAAAAACAAGTATGTTGATGGTTAATATTTATTACATTATATACTTACCAGTCTTTCACCACTGCTATAACATTTAGAGTCTATATCATTTGGGCTCATAAACTAGATGAAACAAATATTCTTAGAACAAAGCTTCACCTACCAAAAAAAAAAAAAAAAGACAAACATATTAATGACAATAGTAAACCACAAATAATTTTAACAAATAAAGTTGTGATGTAATCAGTGGCCATTCTTCATACACGATGTATGAAACAACCAACGAAATTTTTAAATCTTAGGAGCACACTAAAAAAATGCCTACTTCAAGAATTCCTCTTGAGAGGGAATCTTGGAACACAGTGGTCTGAAAAAGCAACTCAATAATAGCTCTCTACTTTTCCTCTTCCAGTTCTTAACTTAAAACCTCCAGGTAAATCACAAGTTAAATGCAAAGGAGAATTAGACCAGTCTTCTTAACACTAGAATCTAGGAGGCAGTGGAATATCTAAATACTATCGAGAAAAAAAGGTCTTCAAAGTTCCTGGGTACAGCCATTACTTTCCTGTTAGGATGAAAGGTATTTGAGGATACATAAGAACTTAGACAATACTAAAACCAAACATCAATTTATTAATCATCATCAAATTTCATATCTTTATTGAAGTTTTTAAATGAATTAATCTTTTGTATACAATATAATGAAGGTTATTTCTAGAAGACTAAAGGATAAATTTCTATTTCTGGGATAGCAACAGGATATTTCTCTTTAGTTACCTGTTCTCCCCTTCTCTATAGTTTTTACCAGGAAGAAGCATGAAAAATGTTTCCTTACAGTTATGCAGCAAACAGGAAGATATTTTGAATTACAAGTTTTTAAATCAGACTTTTTAAAAGTTATTTTTATTTAAAAAAAAAAAAAAAAAAAGGAGACAGGGTCTCACTGTGTTGCCCAGGCTAGTCTTGAACTCCTGAGCTCAAGTGATCTGCCCGCCTCAGCCTCCCAAAGTACTGGGATTAAAGGCGGGAGCCACTGTAGCTGGCCCAGAGTGATCTTTAATTACTTTGAAATGCTCAAATCTGGAAAACTGTCTTGAGTTTCTTTCAGCTTGCCAAACAGTTCTTGTACCACACATTATTCTAGGCACTCGAAGATAAACCAGGCAGAAAACAGCTGTGTTAGACTACGCAGGGCTTTCTGCGAATTAGGAAAAAACATCCCTTCCTGATGGGAGCAGCTTCACAGCAGGGCACACAGCTGTCAAAGCACAGGGTATATTTCAGTCTCACCCCCTCACTCCTCTGGCAGAGCACCAGAAAGCAGTATATCAACTGCTCAACCAAGTGGAATCGCCCTGGAATAGAGTCCTAACACACCTTCCATACCTGTTCCTGCTGCCTCCTGAGCTAATCAATATCATGCAAATTTTTTTTTTGTTTTTTTTTTTTTGAGAAGGAGTTTCACTGTTTCACCCAGGCTTGAGTGCAGTGGCGCGATTTTGGGCCTCACTGCAACCTCCGCCACCTGGGTTCAAGCGATTCTCTTGCCTCAAACTCCCGAGTAGCTGGGATTACAAGCACCCGCCATCATGCACGGCTAATTTTTGTATTTTTAATAGAGAGGGGGTTTCGCCATGTTGGCCAGGCTGGTCTCAAACTCCTGACCTCAGGTGATCCATCCACCTCGGCCTCCCAAAGTGCTAGAATTACAGATGTGAGCCACTGGGCCCAGCCCATGCAGATATTTTTAACTTTAAAATTATGGAAGGGGAAAAAATAAAATAAAATTATGGGAGGGAAATTATGGGTCAAATTGTGAGCCTAAAGATGGTATTACATTAGTTGCTCTGACTACTACCACCCTCCAGCTTGGACTACCACAAGGTAGAGCCATCCATCTTGCGATGCTAAAATGATTCCAGCTAACTCAGCGTGGCGGTAAGAAGTGAAAGCTGGCAGCTGGTCAGCTAGATCTGTCTGTTTCTCTTATTGAGGGACATTTTCTAGGCCAAGCTGAGGGATTTATCTAATGCTCTTAAACTGGCATGGCTTCTTTATCTCCGTATTTTACAAAGCCTCACTTGGATATCTATGCAGTTTCATTTTATCCAAGATCCTAATTCTAACCACCAGAACAGTCACATGTGTCCTCCTTGAGTCTGCCAGCACTGTTTACACACACCTGTATTCTAATTTTTATCATCCTGTATCATTCTAGGTGTCCAGAACCTCTGGAAGTAGATACATTTTTAATATCAATGCCCTTAGGCCATTATATATTTGCCTCTGCTTCCAAAATACATAGACACATCCTGTAGTTACTTATAACTGTTTTACCCTCTAGGTCACAAGTTACTTAAAGCCAGGGACCCTGTCTTATTACTTTTTACCTTTTATAGCTATAATGCCCAATTTTAAATCTAACTTTATTAGTATAATTTCAATTTCTAATACAATTGTTATGTCATAATAAAGCTTGCCCCAACAATATTCCTAGAATTTTTATATCCTTAACATTTATCATAAATGAAAGACATAGTAACAAATGCCTATAATCATATAAATGACCTTCTCAGTAAAATAATGTTTCACTTTTTCTCATATAGCAACTGGTAAAATGTAAAATATGAACAAGCAAAAACAAAAGATACATAAACAAATGCTAATTTAATGTATTAGCTACATTGCCTCATTTTATGTCATCAGAAATTTCATCAATATGTCATTTAATTCAACAAATGTCATTGAACATTTACTATATGTGAGCTACTAATTTATGTACTGAGTTTAGAGCAGAATCAAAATCCTTACCGTCATGTATTATAGTGGGGTAGAGACAGAGGAAGAGCAAACATACACTATGTCAGATCATGTTAATTCGATGAAAAAGTAAAACAAAGTAAGGGTATAGAGTGATAGGAATGCTGCTTCAGATAGAATGGACAAAGAAGGTCTGAAACAGTAATATTTGAGCAAAAACTTGAATGGAATAAGTAAGTGGACTATGTGGGTATCTGGTAAATGTATGTTCCAAGTCACTGAGATAAATGCATGCTGGATGCACTGGATATTGAGTGCAAGAGGAAAAGAGGTAAAAAATAATTGCAAAGGAAAAAGAGAAAAGTCAATCCATTCTTGCTTCTCAGGAACTAAAGTAAGGCATGAAAAGAAGAAATAGAGGTGTTCCCCTGAAACCATTTCTCCCCAAGAATGGAAGTCCCTCCCCATGTCCACCCACAAAAGACTATAAGGTGTTTTAGCCTGTGTGAAGAATAGTACTGTTTACTGATAGGTAAGACTGACATAAGAGCAGTTGGGAAGGAAAACAATGTTCAGTTGTAGCTGTGTAAGGTGTGACAGCTTTCTTAGAAATTAAGTAATCAAGCAGGCAGCTGAAGATCGAAACAGGCAGGGAAGCTGGAACTAGTGAATCAATCTGGGAATCATCAGCATGTCATCGATAAATTTTTCAAGCCATGGGACTAGACAGATGAAATAACCCAGAGCAGTGCTGCTCACCAGAGCTTTCTGAGATGATGAGCCTGTTCTATAATTTCAGCCACACAATATAGCAGACAAAAGCCACATGTGGCTAGGGGCTACTATAATGAACAATGGGGACCTGGAGAATGAGTGTAAGGGAGCAGAGAAGAAGTGTTACGACTGAGCCCTGGGCTTAGCATGGCTGAGTCAAGGGAGAGGGTAAACATCCAACACAGGAGACTGAGAAGTAACAGCAAGTGAGGCGGGAGAAAAATCAGGTGAGTGGTATCTCCCAGAAACCAGGTGAAGAGAGCTTGAAACAGAAAAGGGTAATCAATGGTATCAAAATTCTGAGAGAAAGCTGGCGGGTGCAGTGGCTCAAGCCTGTAATCTGAGCACTTTGGGAGGCTGAGGTAGGCTAATCACTTGAGGCCAGGAGTTCAAGAACAGCCTGGGCAACATGGCGAAATTCCATCTCTACTAAAAATACAAAAATTAGCCGGGCATGGTGCTGTGCATCTGTAATCCTAGCTACTTGGGAGGATGAAGTATGAGAATTGCTTGAACCTGAAAGGCAGAGGTTGCAGTGAACTGAGATTGCACCACTGCACACCAGCCTGGGTGAGAGTGAGATCCTGTTTCAAAAAAAAAAAAAAGAGAATTCTGAGAAGTTAAGTAAGATGAAGACTGGGAATTGACCGATGGATTTAGCAACATGGAAGTTACTGACAACCTTTTCAAAGAACGGTCTTTACGGAGTGGGAAAGAATGGTGAGGAAATGAAGGCAAGCAATTTAGACAGCTCTTTAGAGAAGTTCTGCCACAAAGCATGCAAGGGAATGGGAGGTGGCTTGAGGGGTACATGAGATAAGTGAGGTTAAAAAAAAAACACCTGATTAATATTATAGCTTGTTTCTAAGCTGAAATATAGCATGTTTCTCTAACAGAGAAAAGAAAATAGATGAAAAACTAGAATGAGAAGAGAAAATTCTAGGAACAATGAGTAGGCAAAATGAAGAGGACCAATGTACAAGTGGAAGGAACAGTGGCAGTTCATCCAATTGAATTAGAAGCATGTCAGAGAATATGAGTATAGACGTAGGAAGATTAGTATATTTGGCAATAGGAGGACCAAGAAGTTTTTTTCAGGTGCTTCTATTTTCTTGGTGCAATAAACAGCAAGACTGCCAGCTGAGAGTGAGAAGCGGGGAGGAGGTGTTAAACCGATGAGTGTAACAGGGTCAAAAAACAGCAGCCCATAAGAGACTTCCTGCCAGGCTGCCAATGAGTAACTAAATTAAGATTGAGTTCCACTGTTGAATAACTATACCCATACTATACTCCAATTCTCCTTCATGTTCCCAAGTATAGAATGGTAGACTGTCTAATACCCGATGGGAATCCAGACATATTACAGCTGCAGCATCCTCCTAAACTGTAAATGTAGAATCTATGGGTAGAAACTGGGTAATCTGGAATGAATTCTCAGAGAGCCCACAGAACTTTTATTGCTTATCTTTCAAGTATAATATTTGAAAATCTTTAAAAATGATCTCTAGAGTCTTTTGTGGAAGTAACATCAAGTTTACAAAAATCTATGGAATCTACATTATTATTTTAGAACATTATTCCTCCACAGGCTTCTACACATTTTCACATTTCACCATAATTACTCA